ATCACAGTTAACAGCAGAATATATATTTTTACTGATTGGGTTTAATCCTGAGCAGCTCATAGTACAATGCTATGATGTCTGGCAAGTCAGATGGAGTCCGCGCACTTAGCCACTACACCAAACTTGCCCCTTGCTTCCATTTACAGAACCAGTGCTTCCATTTACAGAACCAGTGAAGTGGATTTCTTCTGTGTAAAAGCTGATGAGACTCGTGATGCAAATGGTGTTGAAAATGTATCTGTTATCGTTCGATTTGCAAAAGATGGCAAACCAGCAGAACATCTTTTGGGTTTGCATGAACTTTGACAGCCCAGCACCAAAAGAAGGAATAGGTGAGCTGTCAGGAACGCCTATGTAGGCTCTCCAGAAGACTGGTGTTGACACTGTCCAATCCTGGGCCTTGGAGTAGATCTATGACAGGTTTGCTGATTAGGTTGTCTGAAGGATCTCTGTGGAGGATACTGTTAGCTTTGGTAGTAAGGCCGTTGGGATCCCTGGTATGAGGGGTGATATCTTGGCTGATATCCTGATCGTTGCTGAGGAAGTTGTGATTGCATCAGAAAAGGAGTATGAGGCGTGTCACAAATGCCTTGAACTTTATGCTCAGTTGGAGGACAGCTTCCACGTTTCCAAAGCAATTGGTTTCAGAAGTTTCATAGAGTCTGTTGCATGTGGACAGTAAGACTCAGATTTAGACTTGGATCTATGCTTTTTAGGGGGCGGTTCCAAGGAAGGTCTGTCTGGGACAGAGCCTGCTATTTCAGAAGGTTTCTGGGTAGGATGGGAGCATGGAACCAAAGAGACAGAGGCCACAGATGGGCCTCAGCTTGGCAGATACAGTCTTAGGCTATGTAACCAAGGCAGATGATTTTGCTGCCGGATCAGCCAAAGCGGATAAGGCTTTCTCCCATAAGGAGGCTTTTAGTCGAGAGGCTCAGTCAGCCCTTGCCTTGGGGGAAAAGGTCTGGCAGATGGAATATGCCGTAATATTACGCCTCTCACCCAACCAAATAAACAGAGAGAACGCTCATTGTTTCTTGGCATTTTTGTGGAGCATGATGAACACTTTTTGAACAGTGACATACTGCGAATTTTACGGAGAAGAAGAAAACACTTCAGGAGCTAGCTGAACACACATTCTTCTCAAGAGGTGGCTTAGAGAGAACGGAGGGAGTGTGTGGAACCCCTCCCCAGAGCATGTGACCATTTAGGCAGGAAATGACTCTGTCAACTCTGGTTGGGAGGGGCTCCTCCCACTGTTGCTATGCTAGCTACAAAAAATCTTCTGGCAGCTGGTCTGCATAGTACCCATGTGGGACTGCACAATACAATGGCAATGAACCTTAGTCGCCTCTTGTCTCTCATCTGGTGTCTAAAAGGGTAATGCAGCTAGTGGAGACCAGCAAGCTAAACAGGGGCAATCAGGCTTGCCCAAATACTCACACAGACACACACTGTGGGACAACAAATGGTTTTCTTTGACTGCAGTCCTATGCACAATTTTCTGGGAGTAAATATAGTAGGACTTCTCAGTAAACATAAGAATGTAACAGAAGACATGGTGAATCAGGCCAATGGCCCATCCAGTCCAACATTCTGTGTCACACAGTGGCCAAAACCCAGGTGCCACATCAGGAAATCCACCAGCAGGGCAAGAACTTCAAAAGCCCTTCCACTGTTGCCCCCCAAGCACTAAGAATACAGAGCATCACTGCCTCAGACATAGTGTTCCATCTATAAATGTTTCCCTGGCTCAAAAGCCAGTCGAATCCAACTCTAGGGGGCAGTGCTCATCTCTGTTTCCAAGTCAAAGAGCCAGGGCTGTCCGAAGACTTCTCCATGGTCATGTGGCCAGCATGACTAAACGCCGAGGTGCACGGAACGCTGTTATCCTCCCACCAAAGCGGTACCTATTTATCTACTTGCAATTTCTTGCTTTTGAACTGCTAGGTTGGCAGAAGCTGGGGCCAGAGATGGGAGCTCACTCCATCATGCAGCACTAGGGTCTCAAACTGCCGAGCTACTGACCTTCCGGTCTGCAACTCAGCGTCTTAACCTCTGAGCCATCGTGGTCTCGTTCCATCTATACCTTGTGACTAATAGCCACTCATGGACCCTGTTCCATATGTTTATCCTCTTGAAGCGGTCTATGCTTGTAGCTGCCATCACTTCCTGCGGCAGTCAATTCCATGTATTAATCACTCTTTGGGTGAAGAAGTACTTTTATCTGTTCTAAGCCTACTGCTCATTAATGTCATTGAGTGCCCACGAGTTCTTGTATTGTGAGAAAGGGAGAAAAGTACTTCTTCTCTACCTTCTCTATCCTATGCCCATTTTTGTAAACCTCTATCATGTTACTCCTCAGTCATTGTTTCTCCAAGCTAAAGAACCCTCATCTTTCTTCATAGGGAAGGTGTTCTATCCCCTTAATCATTTCAGTTGCCTTTTTCTGCACCTTTTCCATATTATAATATCTTTTTTGAGATGTGGTGAATAGAACTGTAGACAGTATTCTAAATGAGACCTTAACTATAGATTTATAGAGGTTAAGACGCTGAGCTGCAGAAGTTCTGTAGTTCGCCAGTACGAGACCTGAGTACTGTGTGGCGGAGTGAGCTCCTGTCTCTGGACCCAGCTTCTGCCAACCTAACAGTTCCAAAGCAAGGAATTGCAAATAGGTCAAGCAGTACCACCTCAGTGGGAAGGTAACAGCATTATGTACGCCTTTGGCATTTAGTCATGCCGGCCACATGACCGTGGAAACATCTTCAGACAGGGCTAGCTCTTCAGCTTGGAAACGGAGATGAGCCCCACCCCCTAGAGTCGGAGTCGACAAGCTTCAAGCAACGGAAACCTTTACCTTTTATTATGATACTGACTGATTTGTTTTCAATCTCCTTCCTAATAATCCCCAGCATAGCATTTGCCTTTTTTATTGCAGTTGCACACTGAGTCAACATATTTAGTGAGTTACCTACCACAACTGCTTCTCCTGGTCAGTTACCCCCAGTTCAGACCACATCAACATATATTTATTGTTAGGATTTTTGGCTCCAATGTGCATTACTTTGTATTTGCCCAAGTTGAACCTCATTTGCCATGCTGATGCTCACTCGCCCAACCTCAATGGATCCCTCTGGAGCTCCTCACAATTCTCCCTGGTTTTCACCACCCTGAACAACTTTGTGTCACCCGCAAACTTAGCCACTTCACTGCTTACTCCCAACTCCTAATTATTAATGAACAAGTTAAAAAGCACCGGACCTAGTACCGAGCCTTGCGATACCCCACTGCTTACCAACTTCCACTGTGAAACTGCCTGTTTATATTCACTCTTTGTTTCCTGTTAATTAACTAGTTTTTAATGGACAAGAGTACTTGTCCTCTTAACTCATGAATGCTGAGTTTACTTAGGAGGCATTGATCAACTTTATCAAAAGTTTTCTGGAAATCTAGGTAAACAACATCTACTGGGTCACCCTTGTCCACATGTTTGTTCACTCCCTCGAACTCCGTATTAATGGTTTTCTGCTTGTAATGTATTTGAATAAATTTTTATTGTTGGTCTTTATATTTTTTGCCTCATAGTCCCTTTTTGCCTGTCTGATTACCAACTTGCATTTTATTTGCCAAAGCCTGTGCTTCCTTTTATTTACCGCATTTGGACTAGCCTTCCACCACTTAAAGGAATCTGTCTTACCTTTTACATATCTAGGATTGCACTGAGTAATCCTGATAGTGGCTTTGTACACAAAGTTCAACCCAGTTTGATATAATCTAGCTACAATTTTGTGTATCAGAAGGTATTTGTAGACTATGTTGCTGCTTTCATATTTCGTTACCTACCACTGATGTAAGCTTTGCTTTGAATAAACTATATAGGCAGTAAAAACCAACTCCGATAGGATTCTTGTACATTATGAACATGGATTATTGTGTGATTACAATGTAGGTAAAATGGGGAAAAAAGTAGAGGTGATGGCAAGTAAGAACTGTGGCTGCCTGCCCATTGCCAAGATACAACCTGCATCTCCTGTTCCTTCCCCAGTCCCTATATCAGTGGTGGCGAACCTATGGCACGTGTGCCAGAGGTGGCACTCAGAGCCCTCTCTGTGGGCACGGGTGCCATCACCCCAGCCAGGCCCAGACCATCATTAAAGTGTCAAATTCTCTGCCAAATAATTTTAAGTAAGAAAGCATTTGGGATTGCTTTCCTTACTTTGTTTGGATCATCTTAAGTTAATGTATGAGTTGTTTTTTCTAAAGTAAAACCTCAGTATTCAGGTTAAATTGCCGTGTTGGCACTTTGCGATAAATAAGTGGGTTTTGGGTCGCAGTTTGGTCACTCGGTCTCTAAAAGGTTCGCCATCACTGTCCTATATGCTGCTCACATATTTCCTCCCATATTCACCCATCTAGCTCCTTTTAGGCCTTCATCTGGTTTCCCACAACCATTGTCACCTGCACTCTGTCACTGGAAAAGTATTTCTGAAAACATTAATATCCTAAGCAAATTTGGCTTCCCAAGATCATCAGGTCTTTTGAATACGTTTACAGAACATCTTCTGGCACACTGTCAGCACCAGGGGTCATTTCGTAGAAAAAGAGCTAGGGGAACTCATTAGCATAACTCATTAGCATATGCCACACCCCCTGACATCAGGGGCCCGGCGGTGGACCTGCAAGGCCAGCGGAAGTGCGAGGAAGCCCCGCCAAGGCCCTCCCTGGCCCCAGGCAGGCAGGGGTGGGGAGAGGCGGGGGGGGAGCAACTTACCCTCCCTCTTCTCCTGCCTCCTCCTGACTGAATGAGGGCGGGAAGCGGGGCGGCCGGAAGCAGGGGGCGGGGCTTCGTCATGTGCCCCGCCCCCCTGCACCTCACCCGGGGGAACTGCGTTCCCCCGCATTCCCCCCCGAAATGACCTCTGATCAGCACCCACAAAACCCTAGAACCCTTCCATTTATATAGCTATGTGTTTGACAGAAACAGCTTCTTACTGTACCTCTGGATGAAATTGTTGCTCTGTGCGGGTGTGACAGTACTGGCACGTATCTCCATTGTCACATTTACTAGGATCTCCCCACTCATCACCATGTTTCACACTCGGACATGGAGAGGACCTGCATAAAAAGTTTTTTTAAAATGCAATGCAATGAGAAATGCAAATATTACTTAACACTCTCAGATAAACTATCACATTGCCCCCAGCAGCAATCCAGATCTACGTCTTGTTGATAAACTTGCCACTTCATTCAGTACACATTCACTGCTTGCTCTACAGCCTTCCTCGAGAAAGGGAAAGGTTTTCTTTCGTCATCCAAGACCAAGTATGCATTATTTTTGCTCAAGTTGAACTAAGGCAGAACCTGGCAGATTTCAAGTATGTGGATGTGTTAAGAGTGGAGCACTAAAATGCAAGTACTCGGAGAAGGGAATCTGAACCACTTCTCTGGAACAGGGCAGGTCTTGTCCAGACCCTCCAAAGAAGAAAGCACACAGCAGCCGGAACAGATATCAAGGTGACAAATAATGGACAATCAGCACATACCTTCTATTAAAACAAAGAGATGTTTCTTGAAAACCTACCATCTCAGAGAGGCACCATTAAGCTTAGCCTTTTTTTCTGAAACAGTACGTTCTGATGTGCGATACAATTTTCATGTGGGAGCACCTTCAATACAAGTGAGACTCAATATTTGAAAACTGAGATATTATGATTGTGAGGAAGGACTCTATCAGCCTCAATATCAATGTTTGAATCAATGCTCAGACCAACTCTGAAGAATGTTCATTGTTTTCGGATGGACTTTCAGGATTGCAATCTGGGAGATAAGACAGGATTGACAGGGACTTGTAAAGGGGGTGGCATGCTCACACTAATTTTGCCTCAAGAATGATTTCATTTACTTTTAACGATGGAAGTCACTACACTACAGGATCTGATGGGCTGGATTCTCTTCAGGCCTAACACCAAGCAGGATGGCAGGGTTCTTCACAGGCTGGAGTGACATAACAATCACCTAGTCTGCAGATCAATCCCTCACCATAGCTAATTTACCTAAATCAGTTTGAAGTTACAGTAAAAATATTAGTCCAGAAGGACAGCTATGTCAGCTATTTCTTCAGATCTCACGGCACTGTACCTGTATTTGTGTTTCCTAGGGCTTCTTCTTCTATCTTTGCTATTATGGTAGTAAGGGCAGGCGTAACCTTGACGACAGAGACGTGGGGGCTTTTTGCACTGTTCTGTTTTGTAGTTTCCCAGAACATATGTCGTGTCTGTGAAGACAGGCATGACTGGTTAGTTTAAGATGACAAATGTATTGCTTCCTAACACGAAGACATGTGAGAGGAGGAGGGAGCAGTCCAAGAGCACTGGACCCCCCTTAAGGATCTTACCTTGCCATCTTGGCTCTTCACTGAGAATTTTCTCTATCATAGCATGACTAGCGGCAACTGCAGACTGACCCTCTATGCCACCCTCTGATGCGGTCTGACCATTCTGCAAAGCTTCCATGGCCTGAAGCTCCCTTAGGGAACAGAGTTAAAGGAATAATAGGTAGACAAGAGACGCTTCAGAGACAGAGATGCTATGCCAACTGGAAAAGAAATTGTCACAGTACAAGAAATTCACATACTTTTTTGCTGTGCCAATTTCAAGAGATTCCAGACCCATACGAGCACCTGGCACTTCCATTACTCTAGAGACAGAACCTTATCCCACCATAAAAAAAAATATTGCCCACCCAATCAGATTATACTCACATCCTTCAGTCGTCACTGTGATGCCACAGATTTCCTGTCCAGCACACACATCTACACCAACATTCAGTAAATGAAAAAAGTTTGAGTCCAGTGGAACCTTTAAGACCAACCAAGTTTTATTCAAGGTACAAGTTTTCATGTGCACACTTTGAACATACCTTGAATAAAACTTTTGCTGGTCTTAAAGGTGCCACTGGACTCGAACTTTGTTCTGCTGCTTCAGACCAACATGGCTACCCACCTGAATCTATATTCAGTAAAGGGGCATTATAAACGGAGTGTGAGACCCTCATCTGAACCCAATCATTGTGTTTCCTTCGTTATTGGAGTACATATGTTTCCACTCACCCCTCAAAAGAAATCTGACTAAGCGCTATCATGGGTCAAAAGTTCCTCTTTCATAAATATATATTGGTCTTCACTGTAAGCATACATAGAACCAACAACATATTTAAATTCAGTTTCTAAATTCCAACCCAGTCGGGCATTCTAATGTCAGGCTTTCTTTAAACACATACTCCTAGATGTAATTATTTACGTTATTTATAAATAAATAAGACAAGGACAGATTTTTACCCAAGTGCTTATATTAGTTTCAAGCCTTTGAGGAGAGTTGGATGGATGTCAATGGCAGACAAAAAGGTCTTGCAAGAAACTGCTGCAAACTGCCTGCCTCTTGTCCCTCGCAGCCTCCCCCAAACCCAGGTCTCAGGTATATGCTTACTGTATTGTGGGGGAAAACAATGGTGCAGAAGAGAGTGTTTCGGGGGGGGAAAGGAGGATAAGAAGTAATTGTTAATCACCGTTTTCCTCCCACAGAATCACTCCTGCAAAATCATGCCCTCTACTTGCACCTTCCAGTTGTTAAATGGGGAACAGAGTTCCCTGCCCTGTCAAATATCTAATTTGGCCCAACATACAGAGACTTCAGGCTATTCAAGTCACTTATATAAATCTTACCTAAGGAAATCAAGAATCAAGATAAACAATCATTTAGTCCATTATCTCCACTGCTGTTTATTTGGATATTAGAAGTATTGTTAAGAAAAATAAGAGAAGACAAAGTAATTAAAGGTATTACAATTAAGGGTTTTTCTTATAAATATAGAGCGTTTGCAGACGATGTAATGTTTGTGGTCGAAGATCCACTTAAAACGCTGCCGTTATTAATGACAAGAATAAAAGATTTTGGAGACTTGGCAGGATTTTATATTAACAAGAAGAAATCAAAGATGATGTGTAAAAACGTAATAAAGAAAAAACAAGAAGAACTACAACAGTTAATACAATGTGAGGTAGTGAAGAAAACCAAATATTTAGGGATTGAGCTGACAATGAAGAATATAGATCTTTTTAAGAATAATTATGAAAAACTCTGGAAATCAATACAGCTGGACATGGAAAAATGGAACACTCTAAATTTATCATTGATGGGAAGAATATCAGTGATTAAAATGAATGTTTTACCTCATTTAATGTTTTTATTTTAGACGATTCCAATTGTGAGAGAGTCAAAGGTTTTAAATGCATGGCAGAAGAAAGTATCGAAATTTGTTTGGGGTGGAAAAAAACCTAGGATCAAAATGAAGATTTTGTGTGATGCCAAGGAGAGAGGAGGATTTCAACTGCCAAACTTTAAACTTTACCATGATGTGGTATGTCTAACTTGGTTAGAACAGTGGGTTACTTTGGACAATAAAAAACTGTTAATGCTGGAAGGGCATGACCGCAAATTTGGTTGGCATGCGTATTTATGGTATGGAAAAGAGAAGATTGACAAATTTTTCAAACACCATTACATAAGAAGAACGTTATTTGACACATGGATAAGATATAAGAGGTTTTTTTGGGAAATGAGACCTCTTTGGATAGTCCCGGCTGAAGTTATTAAGCCATATTCAAACGCTAAGGGGCAAGATTGGATACAATATAAAGATATTTTGAAAATTATGGGGAGTACGGTGGAAATTAAAGAGAAGGGAGAATTAAGCTATGATTATGATTGGTTACAGTATTGGCAGATACATGATCTCTTTAAGTCTGATAAAAGGGAATATGGTTTCAGGAAGAAACCTAACGAACTTGAATTTGTGTGGTTGCAAAAAGGTAATAAGGTGATATCTAAAATATATAAAGTATTGTTAAAGTGGTATGCTGAGGATGAAACAGTAAAAAAACAAATGATTAAGTGGGCAATTAATATGAATAAAGAAATATCTATGTCATCTTGGGAATATTTATGGAAAAATTCAATGAAAATATCAACATGTAAAAGAGAATTGTTATAAAATGATGTATAGATGGTATATGATGCCTAAAAAGATTGCGCTTGTGAATGTTAATATGTCAAACAAATATTGGAAATGTAAGAAAAAAGAAGGGTCTTTTTACCACATGTGGTGGACTTGCAAAAGAGCTAAAGAATTTTGGACAGAGATACACGCTGAGATGCAAAAAAATTTGAAATGTACTTTTAAGAAAGAACCAGACGTTTTACTTCTGGGGCTTAAAATGGAAGAAGTTAATGCATCTAAAAGAACTTTGATGTGGTATCTAATTACGACGGCTAGAATTACTTATGCTCAAGCTTGGAAACAAGAAAAAGTACCAATGATTTGGGAATTGATTAAGAAGTTACTTTTTATGGTAGAGATGGACAAACTTACAAGGAAACTGAACAGTAAAAATTCGGAAGAATTCTTTGCAGATTGGTGAGATTTTAAAGAATATTTAGAGAAGGAATGGGATATGAAGAATAATTTGTTTTCTTTAGAGAATTATTAAGAATATATAAACTCCGAGATATAGAAAAGTTAAAAATTCATATTTTGAACTATAGGTTACTAGTATATAAATATGTGTTATGGTTGTTTTTGTTATAGACAAAAAGATTAAGATGAAATGATCAAAGGGAGGGGGTGGGAGCACTGCGGGAAGCCCGATGAAGAGGGGGTGGGGGGAAGGAAAAAGGGATATGCATTAATTTTAATCATATGATGTTGAATGCGATGTAATATTCCTTTAATAAAAATTGTTTAAAAAAAAGATAAACAAAAAAGGTAATTTTTGACAGTCACCTGGGGTCGAAATACAGGTTCAATGTCTCTCTAGCCATCTTGTCATCATACATCTGATAAGCATCATGCTGGGGCCTTGTCCAGAGTCTGGTGACAAGACAACGGGGTTTGTATTGAAGCCATTTACAATAACAATTTTTACATGGCTCTCTGCCCCATGGTATCTGCCAAAGTCATCTTGTGTTGTGCAAAAGGCTGTAAGAATCAGCTGTAAAGAATCATACTGAACAAACTATTTTGCTTTGTTGGGGTGGTGTGTCATGCCTGCCCCTGACATGGCTGCAGAAGCAGAGCCTGACAGCCAGGAACAGGTGGACTTGGCACCTTTAACTGAGGAAAATGTAAGTCCTGAGGAGGATAGCACTCCCCAGGAGACACCTGAGTCTGATCAGGCACTGCCTGGCCCAAGTGTATCACCACCCGACTCTCTCCCACCTGTTAACCGGCTCAGAAACCAAAGACGGCAGGAGCTGAATGAGAGACGGAAGGCTGCACGCATGCGTGGTCGCCGCTCATTCAGTCCTGAGTTTTGACAGCAGCCTGGACCTTGTTTCAAGGAGTTAATGAGTTAATGAGCCAGCACGTTATTTCAACAGACCTGGTGTTTTGAGCAATTCGTGCTGGCAACTTCATTGTCAGGACCAGGCACTCTGTGCGACCTTGCTCCGGATCCTTTGACCTCTTGGCAGTTTGTCACTCGGCTTCAGAACTTTGGCTTCTTGACCCTCGGCATCGTGTTTGACTACGGCTTCGGCTCTGCGTTTATCTGACTTCACCTGATTTATGGATTCTGACCTCCGGTACGTTTGACTCTGGCTGTGTGAACTGTTTAGGACTTGTTTAAACGTTTTGCTGACTAAACTCTTGGCTGAATTCCGGACTGGTTATCGGACTTGCTTTGATTAACCTGCGCTCCCTGGCCCTGCCTTGACATGGTGCATGTTAACATGCTATGTAGGCAGCCCTTTCTACTCTTATCCTTTGTACTTAGGTTCATGAAGTACACTTCCACAGACAAGGAGCTCTACTAACCTGATATCATAAACGGGAGAGCGGAGGTCATGGGGCCCATGAGCAAAAGCACAGTGGAGGCCATTCTTGGTACAGTTTCCTTTTGAGTCAGTCTCATGGATGCAGATTCCAGTTTTGTAGTAGCGCAGGTGATATCTCCGCTCTGTGTCACCAGTAGTTCTATGCAGGAATGGACACCTAAAGGGGAGGGGGAGGGGAAAAAAAGAGCTCGTAGAAACGCAAAAGCTGAAACGTGCTTCCCAATAAGTAATTATTTTTAGATGAATGGTGGTAAAATCCAGCACTTTTTCCTTTTGAAAATAATTCCATTTGTAAAATAAGTATATAAAGAGGATCCGATCCTCAAGCCATAAATTTTAAAATAACCCCTACTAATTTCTCTACGATTATTCCAGAGCACAAAACTTTGAATTACAGCCTTTGCATTTTTGGCAATATATATATGCAACTGTAATTAATATTTTGTTCAAGTTCCTACGACAGGTTCTCCATATTTCTTCACAGGTTCTTCCGCAAGATTTCTAAAAGCTGCTTTGTTGAATTTTCTCCTCTCTGTAAGTTCAGGTTGGAATCTCCATCTGGTCAAGTAAGATGCAGCCTTGAGTAACTTACTCATCTCCTTCTGGACAGATCCCTGTGGTCTCATCATATTTGGTGCAGTAAATGTCAGGACTGTAGTTAAAGGTGCCATCCCGACGGCGAATAGACCGACGACGACGCTGGTTGACAAAGTGCCAGTGGAAGCATGTGTAGGGCCTGTGCTGAGTACACTTGTGTTGCACAAATAGGGGGCACTGTTCTGTGCGGAATTCCTTCAGGTACCTGTGGAAAGAAAGAAAAATTGGACTTTGCTATGGAGCTCACAAGGGAGATTTAGATCTATCCTTCTTTAGCACCACTTTCTCTCTCTAAATATGCATTCAAAATATTTTATTCAAATTAGTACTTAAGTGTTCATTGGCATCCTGAATAAGTATTGCAGGGATGGTTGGCTAGTCCTCAACCACTACTTCTGCATTTACTCTTCACCAGGCCCTAAGCTACAGTGGGGCCTCCTGGAGCACGCCCCCCCCCACTTCTCCCCAAGACCCCACAACTTTTGGGGAGAAGTGGGGGGGGGATTATCATGGGGGAAGGAACATGGCATAGGAGAACAGGAGAGATCTCTGCTACTGGTGGTCTGTATGTCATGCTCTGCCCCGACCTGGATAGCCCACGGTAGCCCAATCTTGTCAGATCTTGGAAACTAAGCAGGGTTGGCCCTGACTAGTATTTGGATGGGAGACCACCAAGGAATACCAGGGTTGTGAAGTGGAGGCAGGCAGTGGCAAACCACCTCTGAAAGTCTCTTGTTTTGAAAACCCTACGGGGTTGCCATAAGACAAGTCAACTGCAACAATAACACAATAGCACATGTCATGCTCTACAACCATGAAGACTAGAGAACTGACTTTTAAGAACCCTGTTGTTGCTTGCATCCAAAGCATGTACAAACATTAAAGAGAGCATCAGTTGTCTCTCCCACCACCACACACCACTCCCTCAACTACCAGAAGCAGCAAAAAGGAAAAAAAAACCAGCAGGAAAGGCCAAATGCTTTGACAGTTCTGAGGATTCAAGCCAATGAAATAGAGGTTCTCGGCAATTTGCATCAGGTGCTTAATTTCACTTGAAAAAAATCAATATATCAACTATCGTTCAAATGAGGACTCAGCTTTCTTGATCAAATTATACTACACTACCAAAGCAAGACAAGCATCCCCCCCCCCCCCCACCCCTCTGGACAAAGCAGTTTTACCAAGAGTAATGCATACTTTCACTTATTTTGTGGACTGTATTTTTGTTGACCCATGTTTCTGAAAAACGATCAGGGCATTTTTTGTAGAAAAAGCCCAGCAGGAACTCATTAGCATAATAGGCCACACCCAACAGCAGAAACTCATTAGCATATTAGGCCACACCCTGACAGCACCACTCATTAGCATATTAGGCCGCACCCACATATTACCAGAAATGTGGTCATCCAGCCACACCCACCTTTTGATTCTTATTCTGTTTATCTTGTTTGTTGTCAAAACCCAGAGGTTTTTTTTGTAGCAGGAACTTCTTTGCATGTTAGGCCACACACCCCTAATGTAGCCAATCCTAATGAGTTTCTGTTGTTGGGTGTGGCCTATTATGCTAATGAGTTCCTGCTGGGTGTGGCCAACTCGGGAGCCAGCCGGAACTCCGTTCCTGATCAAAACGTTTTTACACTTTCCAAACCTAGGGAACAGCAAAGAGGAAAGCAGTCTTAACAGCTAAGATACCGGCTGATCTGTAATTATCACAGTAGTATGATTGGTACTGCAGTGGCACCAGGTGACAGTATGATTGGTACTGCAGTGGCACCAGGTGACAGCTGCATATAAGAACTATGTGAGAACCTGCAGATTATATGGTTACTCCCCATCTGGTTGCTGCAACAAAATGAGAAGACCCAGGGAATTTATCCTCCCCAGTCTGAGAACAGAATAACTGAAAGAAGTCTCTTATTAAATATTTCCTTTCAGAATGGGTGAAATACTTTTTAAAGCAGTGTTTATTGTCATACAGCCAATTCAAACAGCTACAAATATCTTAGATCCAAGATTCTAATTCAGTCATCCGAGGAATTACATAATTGCTGGTGCATCAGACACCCATAGGAGTGGATGCTGTTAAAGTACTTTCTAATAATGCAGAATTCCAGGTATTTGATGCTGGAATGCAACCCAGGAGTCTGCCAAGCAGACTGCACCATAACATGGTGTCACATACTTCATACAGTATACCCGATGACTCTTCTCGGTGCGCCTTGCCTCAGACTGCTTTGCACAGCCACAAAGACCCATCGGTGTGATGCACAAAGACCAAAAAGAGAAAACGTGAGTTAGGTTATTATTTTTCAGGATATAATGGTTTGTTCTGAAACAACTACGAGAGGAGTCTGCAGAAGAGGCCATTGCTGAGTCCCCTTTTGCCTTTCCATGTCCCTGAAAACCTTCTCCTACAGGTTTCAAGACTCTCCGTCACTTTGCAATGTGTCGCTGCAATGCGAAGGGGAGCTAGCAGAAAGGGTGCGTTCCAAATACATAGAGCAAAAGCTCATGAAAGAGCAGGAGGGAGGAAAGTTTGACCTGTTCCTCTTCCCCACTACAGTCCCCATCCACTGCAACTGACACAATTTTCTTTCCTATTTTCCCAACTAGCAAAAATTAAGATACAGCTGAGTATCTTGTGGAGTAGCACTGTGCATTTTCATCTGTGACATTGGATATGTTTATAATTGCTTTATTTAAACAAATATATTTATACTTTTTTATAAATATACAAGCATATAACTTTACACGCTAGCTAAAATTATACAAAGTATATTTCATGCTCTTAAAGAAGTAAAGCAGGCTTAGACTGAATAAGTACTGCTTATATTTCAATTTTCTCAAACATTTCTGGTAGAAAACCGAGGGAGGGAGTGTCCCCCACCCCCACAATGATTTCAACTTTTTAAATAAATTGTACAACTAGTTGCTGTAGCAAAGGCAGCATTTCTCAGAATTGCTACCAGTTCCACACGCAGGGCCAGCAGGATAGCCACAACTTAGCAGGTCTCAACGCATGGATGAGAAAGTTGTGCTGGGAAGAAGGGTTTGGATCGGGGTGTTGAACTCCATCAAGCACAACAAAGCATCCGCCCAGCCTCAACGTCCCCTCTTGGGAAAGAGGCAGGAGCACCTCTGCACACTGCACCTGATTGGGCACTTGGCAATATCCTTCAGGCTGCTCAGCAAGATGGCACTTTCCCTTCCCTTCTCCCCCCCCCCCAGGGATTTGATCCAGCTTGGGATGCTGCATGGGAGACTGCTCCCCATGGCCATGCTGGTCTGAACTGGGTGGGAATGGGTGGAGAAGGGGGACAGGCAAAACCCAGAAAGGGACCCCTCAAAGCGGCCAGTGTAGCTGCTGCCAACTCCCGCCTAGTCTTGCTATTGAGCTTGGCTTCCCCCGCTGCCCAGGTTTGACTGCACCTGCTGCTGCTCCTTCATGGCTGCCATTGCCCAGAGTGGTGCAGGGGGGGAGGGACGCCTGCACTTCCTTTCATTGGTCTTACAATTGGACAGCCCTTTCCCTTGGCCCCACTGGCAAGACACAAGCTTCCCCTAGTTCTCTCTCGGAGTGGACCAAAAGGCAGCAGCAGCCAAGGACAGGGGCCAACAAGGCAAAGTGCGGAGTCCTCTCCCCCTCAGCCAGCAACCAGGGCAACACAGCAACCCTGTGCCTCTCACTCACCGGCTACTGCAATCCCCCCCCCCCGGCCTGAAGCCAAATGATGAGAGAGCAAATCAAGAGAGCACACCCAAATGGACTGCAGTGGAAAGCTCCAAAGGGGGTGGAAGCTAGCAAATGTGCGTTGGCAACAGCAGCCCTGAGTCAGCAGCCACCTGGGACATAGGCTGGTTCCCCATGTGGAAACTGATGGGCATTTCTGCAGTGGGGGTTCTCTCAAAGCAGTGGCTCCCAGCATCTCAAGAACTTCCCTGCGAAGTTCCCTGCTTTCCTGGCCTCAAGCCCCTCCCCGTCTAGCCTTTGGCGAATCAGCTGTCTGTGCATAAGATCTCGCACGGTGCCCTGATGTCATTTGGTAGGGAATGCCACCAGGTTGGGGCCAGGACCAAAAAGGCCCTGGCCCTGGTCGAGGACAGCCGGACATCCCTGGGGCCAGGGATCGCCAGCAAGTTGTTATTCGATGAGCGTAAAGCTCTTCCGGGGACATACCAGAGAAGACGATCCCGTGGATATGTTGGTCCCAGACTGCTTAAGGCCTTAAAGGTCAATACCAGAGCATTGAACCTGACTCAGTACTCCACTGGAAGCCAGTGTAGCTGGTGCAGCACTAGTTGTATATGTGCCACCTGTGACGTTTCTGTCAGGACTTGTGCTGCCGCATTCTGGATCAGCTGGATTTTCCGGGTCAGTCTCAAGTGCAGGACAGTGTAGAGTGAGTTACAGTAATCCAATCTGGAGGTGAACGTTGCACGGATTACTGTAGCTAGGTCAGGGCACGAAGGGAAAGGAGCCAGTTGTCGGACTTGGCGAAGATGAAAAAATGCCAGCCGATGATGCAAGCGTTGATGGTGTTGCTTATGGCCAACCTAGACACCCTTTGACCCTTGTTTGGAGGGAATACGGTAATATTTTTTCTAAAGAAAGGATCTGTTTTTCTAAAGAAAATGGTTCGCTGTGAGTAATAACATAGGGCTCTTCTAACATTGAAAGTGTGCCAAGCCTTTTCCTTTGGATGCTTAGGCTCTGGACAGAACAACAGTAGGTGCAGTTCCTGCGACCTGTGGAATGCAGAATTATCCTTGGGGATAAACATGGGATCAGGTCTAAGTGCCACTTTGTCTTTATGGAAGACACAAAGGTTACCTTGACTGAAAGCGAGCCTATTTTGGACACCCTTCTGGCCGAGGTGATGGCAACAAGGAACAAAGTCTTCATTCTTAGCCATTTGATGGAGACATTCTGAAGCAGTTCAAACGACGGTTTGGTGAAAGCAGAGACGACGATGTGAAGTTTCTACTTGGGAAATCCGTGAGCTTACAGCTTACAGTGGATCTCTCAGAGCCACCCTTTGAATAAAATAGAAGATGTGGGGATGATGAGAAATGCACACTCCTTTTATATGGGGCAAACGGTAGCAAGGCAGCTATCTGCCATTTCAGTGTGGGTGCCTTAAGCTTTCTCTTGACTCCTTCTTGCAAGAATGCTAACATTTAGGCGAGCAATGGTTTTAACGTGTT